GGTCCCTATATTCTGTTCCTATTTTAATTTTAGGACAAAATTAGGGTATTACAAAAATAATAGTAATAATAATATTAATAATGTCGAGACAAAAATGAGTGTCAACAAGATGTTTGTGTAGACTTTCATTAGGAAGCCCATAGAATATAGGAAGAATATGATAAGGCCCATTTTCAGAGTAAACGAAGTTGCGCCTTAAGGAAAAGTGATATAGAGAGGTTGTTGTACGGCAGATGCTACAGGTAACTAGCAAATCGTTTGATATGCCATTGGTTCTATCATGTTGTCTTTGCGTAGTGTATCTTCGGTTATCGGTTCTTCGTTTGTATTGAAGGAAGATGATCCGTCCAGATTTATTTTAGATCTGATTGCTCCAATAGTTCCTATTGTCATTTAATTCTTTTTTTCTTGAAGCATTTTTGAGTGAATTCATCTGGCTCGTGCTTTAATTTCTGGATCAAATTCTACCAAATCACTTGGATTACTTCTGGTCATAAATCAAAAAGAAACAACATTTATTTTAGCCGAAGTCCCCAACAACAACGCCAATTCGACAGGCGTCGTTCGCATCAACTTAATTTCTTCTTCTCAATTAATAAATAAAGGAAATTTAATGTAGTAAAAGAGAAGTAAGAATCAATCCCACAGAGACTAAAGAAACTTCCTGATTTATTCGTGCTTTGTTTAATTTTTGAGCCAAGAAGTGGATGGAGTAGAATTTGACTAATGGTGGGGATTTATAGATGAAGAGAAATAAAATAGATGAAAGAAAAATAAAATATTTCAAATAAGATTAAAAGGAAATTTAAAAACAAAGTTTAAAAGAGAATTCAATATGGTAAAATCAACCTTGTGACTCAATTTCCTTTGGATCATCGAATTAGATTTTCCCTTTGGGATTCACGTCGGTTACTTTGTCTACAAGGGCAATCCTTGTGACTCTTCTTTGTATATCGAATCCCCAAGTCAATCTTTGATTCCGGCTTTGTAAATTGGTCTAATCAACATCAATTGTCATATATCAATAAGCGTTTAAGTTTGTGAAGACCGAATTAGATTGTTGTTTCAATAACTACTAATTTTGATCTCAATTCACTCTTAGCAAGGCAATCTTGCCAAGTGTGTACCATGAAGTCGAATGTGCTTTCAATAAGTTGATCCTTCCTCCCACATTTAATCGCAACAACATCTTGAACAAGGTCAATCTTTGATTTTGAAAAATGTTTTTTTTAAATAAGTGCATAAATTGATAGAAATATTCCGAAGTTATTTAAGTGTTTTTCAATCCTCACGTTGGGATTGAGTCATCGCTTTAGCCCTCAGCTTGAAAGAAAATTAAAGAACATGAAAATAGAAGAAAAGAATTATTATTAAACTAAAGAAATGATGAATCCATTAGGCTTACCCTAAGGGGGGTATTTATATCTTTCTAAAAACCCTAAAAATAGACAGGAATTGTTTAAACTTAAATCCTAAACATAAAAAGATAAATCCTAAAAAATTGAATTTTAAATTGCTTCATATGCTCCAGCCCTTCATCCATCTTCTAGAAGCTGCTGAATGGACCTGCTAGAAGCTGCTAGCCCACTGTCATGTCAGCATTTCATGCTCAATTTCATGCCCACTGTTCCAGCCTTGATTTCAGAACAAAAAGTACAGTTTTTAGGCCTTTTAAGCACATTTTCCAGAAGTTATTGCTCTGCGCAGAAATCGTGTAAAGATGCCAAAATCAGTAGTAAAGACGAATAAACAAGGAGCATTTACTCATGAAATGTTGCACAAAAATAGACACTAGTCACAAACTTTGATGGCTTAATTGTATTTAGGCCATTAATATTTTTTAAATAATTGCAATTAAGTCCTTGGACCTCTAAAAATTTATTAGTTTAATTATTTTTAAGACCTTTTCAGTTCTAAAATGAAATTTTATCATGACCTTCAATTTTTTCTAGTTTAGTTACTCTTAATTATTTTCTTATTCAGTATAGGGTGATTATACCTCTTTCCTAGGACCTCTAAGGAGAATAATTCTCCTTTTAACTATTGAGACTACTTGATGGGTTTAGTATTATTGAAATTGTTAAAATTAAACCATAATACCTTTAAATTTTATGATTATTTAATTACAAAGACTTTATTTATCTTAAAGTAAAACAATTTATTCCCTCATAATTTAATCACAACTCTATCCTTGTGTTATCTTCCATTAAAAAATTCACTATAGATATAAACTTATACTTGAAAAGTGTTTTGTTTAAGATAAAACTATCAAATAGAAATAGATAATACTTTAGGAGTTGGGTCCAAATCCCCCAAGAGTAAATATGCTTATTTCATGCTTATATTCCTAGTCATTTTCATATGTTGGGGCAACCCAAGTTGTAGTGTAGGCTTGCATGGTCCAACTGCATCTTCTTTAAATTTTTTTTATGTTGGACCAATTCTAATGCTCACAACCATCAATTCCTTTCAATTTAAAGAGATTTCCTCAAAAGTGTGTCAATCCCATTTTATATCAGTTAAACACAAGATGGACACATTAGCATATCACTAAGCATTGCTCTTGTTTATCACTTCAATGATTCTTTCTTCCTTTCATACATACTATATGATAGTACTAAGTACGAAAAAAATACAAGAAAAAACACAACACGAAATAACATGAATACTGCAAAATTTTATATAATATGAATTATTATCAATTACGCTAAATGCAATTGCGGAATAATATAATGCACAAGTATAATATTAATAAATTAGTTATTAGTTATTATATATGTATATGTGTGTGTTTGTCTCATTTGTTTGATATTTTGGAGTTGTAATTTTCATTTGTGTTTTGTAATATGTCAAGAATATTCCTGGAGGAATGTGAAAGCTACAAAGGACCACCATTGTGTGGATATAATAGAATAATGTTTTTCCCTCTTTTATTCTTTTTTAAACTTTCACATGATAACTGGATGTTCCAATTCGAGGATAAGAAGTTAAAAAACAAAGTATATATGTTAAGATTTCTCTTACATCCATTCCTCATTGCTCCAACCATTTCTCTAACTATCACCTCGAGACCTTCATCTTGATCCACTCCAACTCTACTATTAGCAAAAGGCCCCAAATCTCTCTCCCTCTTCCAAACATCATTCCAGAAATCAATTGTATTTCCTTTCCCTATGGTCAAAATTATACTTCGAAATCATGTCAATCTCGTCCATAGTCGGGAGCATCCTATTCGAATAATATTCTCTGGAATAGGGTCTATTATGTTATACTTTAATTTTATAATCCTTACTCATATGTGATCTTTCTGTTAGAACCAAAACATAATTAATATAAAATCAAGAACACAAATAACTCAAGATCTAATCATGCCAAATCATCAAGAATAAAATAATAGACTCTGTGACGGGCATAAGAGTAATTACGAGATTTTTTATTTCTTGGGGACCATAACCCCTTTATATAATTGATTTAAGAATCAATTATCATATGTATATATAACTATGTCCCTCATCAAATTATAAATACAACTTTAATAGTAGCTATACTTTTATTTCCATGACACTTCTAATACCTTATGACTTTGTAACATAATTGGTCACTTAATTTATGTCATATTTTATGATAACAATATACATTATAAACATGTACCTATGATTATTGATTTAATCCAACAATATTTCACCTAGGCAACATACGTTTCGTGATAGATGTATAACCTTATGAGCTTAAAATTTGTTATCATGCAATAGGTATTTTATAACAATTTTGTCCACCAACTATATCCATATAGGATCAAAACAGCCTTCGAAATATCAATCATGATTTGATCCATCAATGGTCACGTATCAATCATGGAACGTAGCATAGAAATTACATGCAATGTGAATCGTACATGTCTATTTCCAACTGGTCCTCTTTAAACATGTTGAACCATGCTTGAGATTTTGATATACCAAAAGTAAATAAGTTTAAAGAAAATTTAAGATTATTTTAATTTGGTTTTCAAGCTTATATTTAATTAAACCATTCGAATATAAAAATATTTTTAAAGTAAAAAACTTCATCTTTACTCTTACTCTCACTACAAGAAATTTAGATTGTTTCAACAAAATTATTTATCACTAAAAGTACTAAATTTGTTAGGATATATTTTTTCTGACCAATTTTATTTGTTACCATGTTTGTTAGAACAACCTTGTCATGTAAAGTATATTGTAACAAAACTGTGTTCGTTACCATAGTATAATATTTATTGCAATAATGAAATTTCGTTACTATAATTAACTTATCGCAATAAAATATTTGTCACAATCAATTAATCATTTCGTCAAGAGAAGTACATTTTGTCATAACTTATATTTAAACATCAAATATAAAGGATTTTTGTGACGAAAATACATAAGGCAACAAAAATTATTTTGTCATAGTTGCTATTTCGTTACTAAATGTAACTTACAGAGACAAAATATTTGTTAAAATAAAATACTTATTTTATCACAAAAAGTAAAAATCGTCACAATTAAATTAAATTATAACATCAAACAAAAAAGGTTTTCGTGACAAAAAGACATTACAACAAATTTTATTTTCTCACTACTTTTATTTCGACACTAAATATTTTTATAACTTTTTACTGTAACTAAATAATTTTGTTACAATTTGTTATTGTGAAAGAATATTATTTGTCATAATTTTTTATAATGAGAAATTAATATTTGTTATAAATTGTTATTTTCATTAAATAAATTTGTCACAATTTTTTATTTTGACAAAATATTGGGACGAAATAAATTTGATATAACTGTTCACTTTGACTAAATTTAACGTGTTATTGTGACTAAATCATTTTGTTGTAATTTGTTACTTTGACTAAATTTAACGTGTTATTGTGACTAAATCATTTTGTTATAATTTGTTATAGTGATAGTGAAATAATGTTATTTGTCATAATTTATATGAAAATGAAGGTTTTAGATTCGTTTATGGGTGGGCAGAGAAGCAACATTTGCACCAAGTAAGCATTCAATCCACCCACACTATTTTTATATTCAAAAACTCCAATGGCAATGAAGTCAATGGGCCGAAAAGCGGCATCGGAGAAAGGCCTAGTAGCCATGTAATAACTCCGGCGTTTTGGTTGGCCACAACTAAAACATCCATGGTTTGCCCAGGGTTGATCATCATATAGTCGCTGGTAAACCTTTTAACGTAGGAAGTATCTTGGGCAACGAGTGTGAGGGTGTGATTTGCGATGGAGAATAATTTTAGTTCATTCATTGCAGCGTTGATGATTCGAAGAAGGTGTGTACACCCATAATTAACTTGCGTACGAAATATTGTATCTGCAAGCAAGGATGAATTTAGAAAAAAATTATAGAGTGGGTAACATAAATAATTTGATCTGGTTTCAGTAATGCTAGAACGTACCGTTGGGGCATCCGTACGTGTCGCCTAAGTGTCCGTTGATGGTGTAAGCATCTGGTTGCCCAGGAGTGGTACCCGTTGCAACCGCTTCATCAATCATTTGCTTGTAGTCTCCATTGTACCATGTTTCTATCGATACAAATTAAAAAAGAATCAGATAATGATTTTATAAACATCTAGTGGGAAGTTGAAAGATATGCTTACGAAGCATGATTGTTTGATCGGCATCCTGCGTGGGGAACGGATAAGTTTTGTGCTTGGCTGGTAAAATGATAGAGGCTCCCTGGAATTAATTTATTTTGATTCTTCAGGAAATAACCATTGGAAAAAGAAAAAGTACAATTACCAGTGAATGGTTAAACCATAGTTTCCTTGATTATGAACAATATTGGATCTGAGGAGTCCCAGCCGTGGGGAGTAGAGGGAGACTTGAGAGTGTTCTAATCTTTTTGGGGGTTAGGGGTCCAAGTTCAGCATAGAGGAAGCCGACTACCATACTATGTTTTCTGTTGAATAATGTTTTTTTGCTTTGCTTATACCTTTACAAGAGTAGTCGCACAGTGAAGTCAAGCGTTCACAACGTCTTGCCTAAGTGAAAGAAGGACAGGGACCCCAACCCAAGTTTCAACAGAGTATACCAAATGACACATTCCATAAGAAATCATCTTGGCTCGATCCATCCTTAACTATACTTTTTCATATTACATGTTTGAAGATCTGAAGTGCTTAAATAGAGTTATAATGATAAACCAGAACATAAACTTAAGGATACATATATAGCTAGAATGAATTAATCAAATGATGTTAAGGATCAAATGGAGGGAGAGCATTGGAATCATTACCTTTATCGTCATCTCTGCCTACTTTTGTGCTTAATCCAAGATGTGCCACGATAAGGGAAACTTGAGTGAGCAGCTCTTCCCCATGCCTCAACTGTTGAGCATGCTCACTCCATGACCAATGACTAGCAGCATGAGTCATCATTTCCATCCACACCTCGCTAATCATTTCTCATTTCTTTTTAACATCCCCTTGCATGTAACTTGCCAACTCCTGCAATTTCCGAGCAATGAAGGCTCCCTCAAGCAGCGCTCCAACTTTGTGTAGCGGCGGTTGATAGAAATCAGGCTGGTGTTGGTAGTCAACAAAGTCAAGCAGCTCCTTGGCAAATTGTTTCCGGCTTTTACAGAAGTTTTCCTTCGTTTCCTTAATCATGAAACTCTGTGCATCATAGTGAATAGTATGGTTTATCACATCAGTGAACCCTTTACACTGCATCCCTGGATACACCAGGGCAAGGTACATCATACAATTAGCAGCGAGTTAGCGAAGGAAGGGAATCTCTGCACAAGGAAGCGAAAGCTGGTTGTATCCCTTGCTTGTTTTTAGTGAGCGAAGCGAACATGTACTGTCGAGTAAAGGCAACCGTTGTTGGCGCCGACCCCTCTAAGCCCTGGCACATCACAAGCCATCTTACTTAAGATTTTTGAAATAGGAGGAAGGGGCAATGTCAATTGAATAAGCGTGTCAAAGAGAATGAGAGAGAGATGCGGCGCAAAGAAGAGAAATGGCCAAGTGAAAACAACACGCGTGAAAGACTAGGGTTTTTGTGTTCTCCTAAAGTATTTGGTCTAATTAAAAATCGGGTTCTTGTAGTCTTACTTGTTTTTATACCTGGTCACTTTTGTTCCTCTCTTCCAATTTGGTCACTATATGTTTCTTTATAATTTTTGATCGTGGATCAATGTTTTGTTTTAGTACAATGTAGTCATTATTTTATGGCATTATGTTTTATTTTTAATTAACTACTGTCTTTTTATTTTATTACATTTTAATCCCTTGGTTCTTTTTAATTGCATTTAATTTTGTTGAGTAATTTATATTCCTTTCAATGTAGTCATAGAATCTTAATTTTAGATCAAATCATTAGGTTTAAATTTCTTTTAAATTAATCCCTACTAGAGTAATTAGACATAATATCAAAGAAAAAACTCGTTGTTTTATTTTTTTTGCCTTAACGATGAAAGAAGAAATATAAAGTTGGAATAATGGCATGAAACGGTTAAACTGCGAGTTTTCAAAAAGTATATATAAAATAAATACAAATAAATTTCTCAAAACACCAATTTCCCTTTAAAAATCAATTTCCTTTAAAATAAAGTAGAGGGAAATTTCCCTCCTAAATTAATTATTTATTTTAAAAAATTATAATTTAATATTATTAAGAACATAACACAACTATTTGTTTGACTCATATAATATTAAAATAATAAAATATAAATTATTGTAATAAATTAAATATTAAACAAAAAATACACTCCTATTAAACGCATAGTACGATTATTATTATTATTAATTAGAGGATCTTTTGATATCTACTTATAATAATAATAATAATAATAATAATAATAATAATAATAATAATAATAATAATAATAAAAGTATAATCTTCAAAACATGATGGTTCTAAAGAGATTCACATAATATTAAAATATAAAACAAATCAATAATTATAATAATATTAATTATTCATAAAAATGATAAAAATCGCATATAAAATTCGTGTATTAAAAATAATTTATGGTTAAAATTTAACGTGTTATAGTTTATAAAAATAATCGTAGTAAATTTAATACATGATTTTTACCATCTATATTAGTTATGGATGTTCATATCTAGGTACTCGCTTTTTCAGGTATTCGAAATTTTTGGGTGTCAAAAACTCGGTGTACGTCTCAACCAGTAATATGTAGGCACCCATAAGTTGGGTACCCATAAAACCTAGGTACCCATATTTCGGGTCATCGATACCCGATTAATATTTATTTAATTTATATTAATTTTCAGAAAAAAAAGATACCTAAGGCTCTTGTACATTTTCAAACAAATCAATTTGACCATCAAATTACTGTTGCATCCAATGTGACCCTCAAACTTAGGGGAAAAACAATTAACAATAGCTTCAATCATTAACCATTATGAAACTGTATAATAAAAAAACATTAAAAATATGTATACAACAAAGAAGAGTATTGTAGTGAATATAACATGATAAACGTAAGTAAATTTTACCTAAACTTAATGTAAAAAATTTAATAGTAAATTTGCCCACTATAATTAATATATATTGTTAAAGACTTACACATACCGCCTTACCTGAGGGCTTAAGTTAACTTGTTTATTCTCAATTCAATATATATATATCAATTTTTTTATCAATTTAATTTTCATTTTTACTATTTTTTATACTTTATCTTTTGTGTATTTTAGATTTTAAATTTCGAATAATGATTTTTTAATAAATAAACAAGCCCTTGAACTTTTTGATAATATATTTTGTTATTATATTTTATTTGGAAATGTCATTTAATTATATATATATATATATATATTATCAAAAAATTAAATTTTTAGAACATTTTTTTAATAATAATTATATTTTATCATTATAATTAAATATATAACTGCAAACATAATTTTTTTAATAAAACCCCTGAATCTTTTATTAATTAAAAAATGAATTTTTGTGTGATAAATTTTCTATAACAATAAATATTTCATAGAGTTACAAAACTTGTTACTATAAAACATTTTTGCACCAAAAAATAGAGAGAAATATTTCTGATAGTATAAGTTTTCATAATGATTAAAATATATAACTGCAAAAATAATTAATTACAAAAAACTTAAATTTTATTAATTACAATATATTTTGCTACTATATAACATTTTTTACACTAAAAAATAGGAAGAAATGGTTCTGATAGTATAATTTTTCATAATGATTAAAATATATAAGTACAAAAATAATTTATTACAAAAAACTTTAATTTTATTATTTGATGTGATAATTTTTCTATAACAATAACTATAAATTATAATTATAAAAATTGTCAATATAACTTTTGAAAAAAAAGTGGAGAAAAATAGTTATGTCAATTAATATATGCTATCACTATAGTTAAAATTTATAACTACAAATATAATTTTTCACAAAAATGTAAATATCATTATTTTTTGTGACAATGTTTTTGTAATATTTATTAACACTTATAGTTATAAAATTTGTCACTATATGATTTTTTTGACGCAAAAAAAATGTGGAGGGAAATCTTTGTGACAATATATTTTGTCACTATAATTAAAACATATAATGACAAACATTGTTTTTATTAAAAACTTGAATCTCATTATTTATTGTGAAAATTTTTCTGTAACAATAATTATAGCTTATAGTTACAAAGCATGTCACTATATGATTTTGTTTTTGTTCCAAAAATTAGAGATAATCATTTGTGACTATACATTTTGTCACTATAATTAAAATATATAATTACAAACAAAATTTGTCACAACAAATCTAAATCTCATTATTTGTTGTGATAATTTTTTGTCATGGTTACTAAAACTTTTAGTTATAAAAGTTGTCACTATATGCCTTCAATTTGGCGCTAAAAAATTGGAGGGAAACATTTGTGACAAAAATTCGTAATAAAGTTTATTTTGTCACCATATGTTACACATGTTTACTAATTGTGACAAATTATTACGACTATTTTAGCTTTTGTCATAATTGTATATCTTTTTTTTAATCTAATGCGACGATTATTTGTTTTGTCACAAAAACTACTAACAGTGACAAAATTAATTTTGAGAAAATTAAATTTATCACAATAGTAGAAATTTCTTGTAGTGTCTTTTGAAAATTCAAGTAATATACTGAAAATAAATTTTCAAACATTTTTACAAAGGGTTTCAGATCTTGATCGAGTCAAAAATCATTTTTTAACCCTGTAGTACCAATATTGCAAGAATATTATTGATAATGTTCATGAGATACCGATACTGGTATTGATATTAATGTGTAAAAGTACACTATAGTATCGATATTGGTACTGATACTAATGTGTAAAAATACCCCACAATACCGATACTGGTATCACTACTCCCTTTAAATTTTTGAAAAAACACCAATTCCAGTATATTATTTTCATATTGATATTCTATGAGTATCAATATCAGTACCGATACATAGAGTGGAGTAATTATACTCCCCTCTCACCAACAACTAGGTTTTGTAATTAATGTAGGCAGTACCGATACTCCAAGCTCGAGTATCGGTACTCAAGGTGTTTGGGAAACATTTATTGCGGGAAATTTCATTCCTATAGCTCTATTAACTCCCACAATAACCCAAGTGACTAGAATTTAAAGAATCGATATAGAAATAAGATTTCAAGTCATATGTGATGACAAGAAATCATAGAGAAAGTTAAAGCAATC